GAGTTATTTTCAGAGGATATACTTGATTTCTATTACATTTAAGTGTGAAAAATCACATATTAAGCCTTTAAGGTCATTATTTAATGGGTCCCTCCATTCTCAATAAAAGGTTCGTAGTAGGTGTCTGTCTGTTTACATGTAGCAGCACAATGTTAATGACTATAAGATATCCAACCTGTGATTAGATTTAACTGCATTAACTGGATACAGTACAGACAGATAGTGTAGCTGTATTGAGTCATAAGATAAATTCTTCTTCTATGGTTCCTTTAAAATAAGTCCTGACTGACACATTGTAACACTGAAACAGTGTAACACTGAAACATTGTAACATTGAAACAGTGTAACACTGAAACATTGAAACAGTGTAACATTGTAACATTGTAACAGTGTAACATTGAAACAGTGTAACATTGAAACACTGAAACAGTGTAACATTGAAACAGTGTAACATTGTAACATTGTAACAGTGTAACATTGAAACAGTGTAACATTGTAACACTGAAACAGTGTAACATTGAAACATTGTAACACTGAAACAGTGTAACATTGAAACAGTGTAACATTGAAACAGTGTAACATTGAAACAGTGTAACATTGAAACATTGAAACACTGAAACAGTGTAACATTGAAACAGTGTAACATTGTAACACTGAAACATTGAAACAGTGTAACATTGTAACATTGTAACAGTGTAACATTGAAACAGTGTAACATTGTAACACTGAAACAGTGTAACATTGAAACATTGTAACACTGAAACAGTGTAACATTGAAACAGTGTAACATTGAAACAGTGTAACATTGAAACATTGAAACACTGAAACAGTGTAACATTGAAACAGTGTAACAATGTAACATTGTAACAATGTAACATTGTAACAGTGTTAACAGTGTAACATTGAAACAGTGTAACAATGTAACATTGTAACATTGAAACAGTGTAACATTGAAACATTGAAACAGTGTAACATTGAAACAGTGTAACAATGTAACATTGTAACATTGAAACAGTGTAACATTGAAACATTGAAACAGTGTAACATTGAAACAGTGTAACATTGAAACATTGAAACAGTGTAACATTGTAACATTGAAACAGTGTAACATTGAAACAGTGTAACATTGAAACATTGAAACAGTGTAACATTGAAACAGTGTAACATTGAAACATTGAAACAGTGTAACATTGAAACATTGAAACAGTGTAACATTGAAACAGTGTAACAATGTAACATTGTAACATTGAAACAGTGTAACATTGAAACAGTGTAACAGTGTAACACTGAAACAGTGTAACATTGTAACATTGAAACAGTGTAACATTGAAACAGTGTAACATTGAAACATTGAAACAGTGTAACATTGAAACAGTGTAACAATGAAACAGTGTAACATTGTAACATCGAAACATTGTAACATTGAAACAGTGTAACATTGAAACATTGAAACAGTGTAACATTGAAACAGTGTAACAATGAAACAGTGTAACATTGTAACATTGTAACATTGAACAATCTACGTAATGACGTGGTTGTGGACCAGTTTTAGAAACTGATTTGGGGTTAGTCGGTTTAATGCATTATCGTTAAACCCTTGCCGAATCTTTTACTCACACTGTCTGCAAATGTTTCTCACAATCTGAGTAAAATGTTAAAACTACGTTTATCACATTTAACGTGAACGGTTAAGTCTGCGTGGCCTTGCAAGCAGAGGACGTTATGTTAACATAGCGGCTAACTGTAACGTAACGACTCAATTTTTAACCTGTAAATCAACATTTAAGCTTTCTATTTGCTTAAATCGTGTGAAAAATGCTTCGTAAATATCACATGCCGACCATTTCTTAGGTGTAATAATCTTTCCCCAATGTGCTGACGCTGTGGATGAAGCTAGCAAGGGAGGAAAAAGGGGATTGACAATGGTGGACGTTGCAAGAAAAAAAACATATCTGCTTTTAAAATCGTCCACAAATAGAAATAATACCACATTAATTAGATAGTTGGATTTCTGACGTGGTATGTTCAGTATAACAGAGTCAAAATGGGATACATTACACCGTTTTTAAAGCATTTTGCTCAATCCTATCGAGTCCAGGGTCTAGCTTTGGAGACACCCACATCAAACCAGATCCATGTCCCTCCACCTCTACTGAACTGCTTCTCGTTTAAACCTCTCCATTCAGAGGTTTTGCACATTGATCTCACACTCTTGTAAGAAATCAGCGAAATGTAAGATAAATGTGCATCAGTTTAAGGTTAGCTCACCCTGGCATATGGAGGCTAGTCCGTCCAGTTTATGTGGTCAAGCAGGACCTCTATTTTTTCTCCTCGCTAACACAAAAGCCAGTCGGTAAGATCATCTCCAAACCTTTCTCGTTGTCTGGTGGACCTCAAACCGGTGTCACCAATGAATCTTCTGGCAAACGGCATTCGGCTGCAAAACCCGTCATTTTATGTTAATAACTCCATAGATAGCCTGTCTCGTTTTCACATCTTTTTTCGCCAGCAGTACCAACAGCGGCTCAAGAGAGCCAGGGCGCCCGAGTGACGTCATGACTGCTGTGCGCGTCCACGACGGATTTCTTCGCCACGCTTGAGTTTTGAACGCGCGGTCACGAGCTTCTGGTGAGGGACTTTATGGCCAGGAGCAAAAAAAAACATACATACCGACATTATGGCAAAGTTGCACACATTTTAAAGAGAATTATGGGATAAATATAAGTTATGATTACACTCAATAATAATAATAATTATTATTATTTAGCATCAATACATATATACATATAGTGTACATTCTATATATTTTATTATATTATTATATTAGTCTATATTATATTGTACTACATTATATTATATAACTATTTTTTTTAAATCTATTTTTTGTACATTCTTAATTTGTCTTTTTATATTTAAATTGTACTGTGTTCACTTTTTGTTTGCAATCTTTGCTCTTTGCTGCAGTAACACTGTAAATTTCTCCGTTGTGGGATAAATAAAGGATTATCTTATCTTATCATAACTGCACTCTGCATTACTGTGGTACAACACTGCCTCTCTTCTCTGCTGTTTTACATTATTTGCTGCTATTTATCATACCAAGTCACTTTAATCATCACTTTATCTTGTCATTCTCTGCAAATACTGTCTCAATTCCCTGCATAGTTAACGTCATCATTCATTTTGTACTTGTATATACCCCCTATTTTTTATATATTTTTTAATCTATTCTGTTTAATGTGTATTTTGAGCTTACTTGTCTGTGCTGCAGCAAAGCCCGAATTTCCCCTCTGGGGATCAATAAAGTATTATCCTATCCTATGTTTTGACCTAAATGTTACTCTTAAGCTTACAATATGAATTACACTTTCATTTTACACATATTTTGTGTTGCGCAATGGTCTATAAATTGTGAGAAAAAAAATATTTAAGGAGGTGTCGTCTTTTATGACGTTATGTCAACAAATACCAGCAGGGGGCGGTGCTTGCATGTGAGAAAATGGTATCTGTGATCTGGTAGCTACAATCAAGGTATGATGGTCTTCATTATATTTGTCATAGAATACTTTATTTTCCTTTTTACTCTCGTTTGCATTCGAAACACGTCTGGAAAAAGAGAGCAGAGGCCCCGGAGACTTACTTTTGAGACAACAATGAGACCATAACTAATGATGAAAGTTATATAGTTGCATTAAATTACATTAAATTAATACACAAATTTGAATGATTTTCCAGTACAGTGTAGATATTATTGCTGAATAATGTTGTTTTTAAAGAACATGTTTTGTTGTCTTTTGGTCTTGCAAAAGTTTAACAGATGAGTGTTTCGTTAGTTAGTTTTTTTTAAATCTATTTTTTAGTATCTATCTATTTTTTTGTACATTCTTAATTTTTCTTTTTTATTTAAATTGTACTGTGTTCACTTTTTGTTTACAATCTTTGCTCTTTGCTGCTGTAACACTGTAAATTTCCCCCTTGTGGGATAAATAAAGGATTATCTTATCTTATGTTATCTTATCTTAGATCTTTAAAATTCAATAACTTCTTAAGCAATGCTGTAAAATGTGAAATGTGTAAATAAAATGTATTATTGTTAAAAGGTAATTTCTGTTTTACATTTTACTTCATACTGTTATCTACGTTACAACAAACTTCAAATATACCCTTGAAATCTGACATTTCTTCATTTATGGCATCATGGTAATGAAGAAATGTTATCCAATTCAATATTCTTAAGTGTATATATTCAAAACTGATTTTTTAGTGTTTCGTTAATGTATGCAATCATAAAAAAATCAGAAACAAAACGGAAGCCATGAAGGTGCTTCAAAGTGCTCTTTTCTGTGTGTTACGCTGCTGTGAGGAAGTACTTCACCCCACACCTCACAGACTAAATGGACAGCTGACCACCTCACAGTGCAATACAAGTGTGCAATATTAACCTTAAAAACAAAACAGTGCAATTATATAATGTGAAAAATATGTGTGCAATAACCTCAGGTGCAATAAGAGATGTAGAAAGTAGAGACAAGAAAACATATTTATATTTTCATCTCATTGTACAGTGTTCCCCTTTGTTATTTTTGTGTATTATATATTTGCTTTAATACAGTGTATAGCTTCTGTACAGTTTATTACTACATCTTATTTATTTTTAATTTAACTTTTTTTTTGTACTTTTCTACTCTTTTTTTCTTATAATGCTATTCTATTTTATATATATATTTTTTTGTACTTTTCTACTCTCTTTTTCTTATGCTATTCTATTTTATATATCTTTTTTTTTTGTACTTTTCTACTCTTTTTTTCTTATAATGCTATTCTATTTTATACATCATTTTGACTTTTTTGTAGAAGCTGACTCAGGGAGAAACGCACAAGAATTCCAATGTACCTGTACTGTCCTGTACCTGTGCAAATGGCAATAAACATCTATTTTATTCTGTTATGGTTGTGAGGTCATTCTTCACTGGCGCATGCGCATTCGGAAAAAACCCGTTTCTTCGTCAATATGTAGCAACTGCGCCGTTTGCTTGTCAGAGACCACAAATCGCTACTTCGATATTCACCTTCAGCCAAACGTGTGAGGATAATAAAGATACATTAATTCTCTTAACGATGACTTCCCGATGAGGACCATTTCAACCACGGTGGTCGTCAGGTGTGCTGTGGATACGATATAAGGTAGGTGGATGTCGGCCACCCGGCACTACTTTAACCAGGACGTGGAGGGGCTAACTGTTAGCATGCTAACGGACAGCAGCGAGCATACGAGCTTTTCAAACAAGCGGCGACTGCGTGTGGTCATCGTGAAATAGCCACTATTTTTATTTAATTGTAATGTGCCTAATAAAAAATAACGTTTCAGATAATGTTCAATTGAACGAGGGTAGCCAGGAGGTGGTGTAGGTTTTTTTTTAGGCCATCAGCAAGACCCGCCTAGCTAGCCTTTAGCTACCCTCCTTACCCCTTTACGCAACCGGCGTCATTACGTCATTACGGGGCTAGAGCGCAGCTGAGAACGGCTCGTAACGATAATGACTAAAATGTAAGATGCTGGGAAGTTGTCAATAAAAGTAAATGCTAGTTTAATTTACCAAGTTTAAGTATTGGTTTAATAATATTTACGTTAAAAAAAACATTTGTGTGTTTAGGTTGAGTTGCTAACATGACGTGGAGATCATTCATGTTGGTTAACGTTTCACTGGTCAAAGATCGGCTAACAGCTAACTAGCTCCTCGTTAGCTGTCTCTGCTAACAAAGAGCCGTAGCCCTGTATGCTCGCTGTTGCCGTCCCAGAGGGGCTGTGGTCCCTCTTATAAAGGCGGTAAAGAACTAGGTACGTACGACAAGGGTTTCCTTAAAGAAAGATGATTAATTGGCGCTGTCTAATGTGTTGTTTCTCGGGGTGTGATGCTGTTAACGTTACCAGGTTTGGATGTGACATTGGGGGTTTCCTGCAACTGTGGCAGATACTAAGGTCTAGATGGCAAATATCAAATATGCATGTAATTTTAATCCTAAGAGTTCAGAAGATTATAACAGATGTCATTAAAAACAACTGTAAGCTATTGCAAAATAAGTCAAATTAAATGGTGCCAGTCTTTTGCATCTACGTTATGCATGTTGCAAGGTTTATATCTCTGTACATATATAAACAACACAACTTCAGAAGGTCAACACCTTTTTTATTTTTTATATTCAGGTCTAATTACAGATATTTTTCCTCAACTGTTTATAGGTTATTGTTTAAATGTCATATATATTTTTATCCCTGCACGGGTTATGTGCATTTCTTGTATAAGTCTATTTTTAACTGAACAGTTTAAGTTTGATTCATTAAAAAAAAAATCAGGTTAATATATATGTATGGGGGGGGGGGGGGTCGGGTTTGTGGTTAATTTGTAACAAATGTTTCATGTCATGTCTTTGTAACCTACTACTGGATACTTTGACTTTCACTCTGGATCAATAAAGTATTTATCTATCTATCTATCTATAGCTTTAAGTTAAGCTTTATCTTACACTTATAATACTTATAATTGACACAGTTTACCCCGCATGAGTTTTTCCAGACTATTCATCTACCTCTTAGATAGTGGTATACTTATTCTTTTGTGTACTGCTAATGATAACCTGTCATTCAGTTCTACCTCATTATTACCACATGTGAGGTATTTAGAGGTTAGTGTGTCATCCTGGCTGTGGAAGGACGATGCGAATTCAATTTGTGCCACATGAAAAGATGACTGTCTGTATTAAGAACTTCATTTACATTCAGTAAATGGATTGTAAAATAATTGTGTGCTGCTGACGGAAATATAACATTTTCTATCTGCATACCTTCAACCACGCTACTTCAAGCAGCTGCCATACGAACATGTCTTGTGGCAAGACCGCAAATCTTCTTGGGGGGGGATTTTAACCTTCTATCAAAGGCATTTGTAAAAAAAAAAAAAAAAAAAAACTTGATAACCAACTTAAAAAGTGTCTGATACACTGCACTAAGGTTTGTTGGCTGTGACTCCAAAGAAAGCATTTAACTTAATGTGTACTGTAAATTCTATGTGTGAACACCTTTGTTGTTGTCTTACTAATCCTGTTGACAATTGACATAAAATAAGTTACTTTTAGACACATGGTTTCTTTTTTTTTTCTCTTGCAGTGAAAGTGGACTGGGGAAGAATTGTCTGGCTGTCCTGCCTTTGCCCACAGTAGGACGTTTGGTTCCCGTTGAAGGCAGTGCACGTGTGTTCCTCAACAGTAATTCCTTATGCTGGTTAGGTGCTGCACCGTGTGTCTTACAGGATGGATGATGTGGACTTAAAGAGACTTGTGTATCTTCATCGGCACTCTGTGTTCAGCTGTGGTATTCAATCTTTTGCCATTTACAAGAGAACACCCCCCATCCTACACCTCCAACTCCTGCACTCTATGTGTAAAGATTGTCTTTAGAGACAAGAGAAACGACAGGCTGAGATAGAAGTTGTGAGACTTTCTATCTTATTTTAAAGCACAGACCATTACTGCTTACATAAGCTTATATGGCAGACATGGAACTACCTTTATTTTAATTTTTCGGTTATTGTACCCCTTTCTCTTGGTCTGGGTGGTGGGATGTCGGTGAAGCCAGACGACAAAATGGTGAAGTTCCTGCTCCCCCGCAGAAGAGTGGAAATGGCCCCAGTTCTGGTTCAGATTCGATGGTGAGTGAATGCCGGCCGACAGAAGTGAGACGCCGGCATCACACCATGGAGCGTGACCGATGTAACCCGAACACCGCTTCCTACGCCGCAGTGTCATCAGTGATTCCAATGCAACAGCATTGGCCCTACCTTTACCCAGCAAGATCCCATCCTGCACCTCAAAGGGTTCAGTTACGGGAAGCGGTCCCCAACGGCAACAAGCGACTGTCTCCTCTCATTTGCCTAGGCTGAACCAAGTTCAGCTCATAACGAGGTGTCTGCTGTTGGTGAGGAGGACAAGAAGGAAAAGATATAAAAATAGCCAAGGTGAACGTAGTGCCTTCAGAGCAGGAGCCTGCCATTGTACAAATATCTGCGATGGAGAGGTTGTAGTATCAGCCCACTCTTCCCCACGTTTGGAACAGAAGTGCAGAGTCAAACTGAACCTGAAAGCACCGCTGAGGTGAAGGAACATCATGGAGAAGAAGGGGGGAAGAAGATAAGTCCGCCAAGGCACGTGCAGAGGCAGAACAGAGAGAAGCGGAGAAAAGGGTTCAGGACGATATTGAGGAGGCAGAAACCAAAGCAGTGGGAACATCACCAGATGGACGTTTCTTAAGTTCGATATAGAAATTGGACGTGGCTCCTTCAAGACGGTCTACAAAGGCTTGGACACTGAGACCACAGTGGAAGTAGCTTGGTGTGAGCTTCAGGTATGAAATATGGATTTGATTTTATTACTCACTGTAACTTTCTTCATTGCTTTTGCTATCAGTCTATAAAGTCATACAAGTGTTTTCATAAACAGCTCTAAAGGGTTTTTGCTCTTACAAAGGTTAATATGCTTGGTAAAGTAGAGTCAAAGGTCTTTCTCCAAACCTTTCTCCAAACCTTAATTGTAAGCAGATAAGCAAAGAAAACTCCTATTTTCCCATTTTACTTTTTGATGCTGATTATTTTCTGTCTTTCAGCATGATTTTACTAAATAGTGTTATGAATCAGATAGCCGTCAGTGTTTACCATCACACATTTTAAGGATGGAATTTTTTTCCAACTTTAGTTAAGCTGGTTTAAAACTTTAAAGGACAGTATAAAGTGTGGCCATGTTACAAATCCGTGTCAGAATATGTGCATACAAAGTCTTTTTAATGAAAGCACTCATGGAAATTTCTAGAAGATTTAAGGCTGACTGCCCCTGAAAACTTCCTGAGTTGCTTGTCCAACCATACATTTCTAACAGTAGGAGACTATTCCTGTCTGCCTGGATGGACTGTGATCTGTGTAGTTTGACAAATTCACAATATCAATAAGAGCTGAGTGTGAAAGCACCTTAATTTTCACAAGACTGGTATTGGAGGTGTACTCAGGTGGTTGGAGAGATGGGTGCTAAAGTGCAACTACTTGGACATCTCTGAGAGTCATATATCATACCTTTAACACTAAAACTAGTTAGAAAAGGAGTGTCTTACATTAAGTGCCAAATGTTAGCATAGTTTGCATAATTGCTTAAAAGCTTTGGCTAAGAATGACACTTTAGACAATGTAAATACCTGTTAGTAGATTCAGCTTTAGGTCCTGTTTACACAACTACTAGTTCATCCAAAAAAGGCAACTTTTCTTGTGTTTTGGCTCTTCGTCTCTTGAGTGCAAAGTTTTGAAAGTGACACAGTTTCAGTCTCTGTGTGGACTGCTAAAACACTTTTCTTCTCTCTTGAGTGCAAAGTTTTGAAAGTGACACAGTTTAGTCTCTGTGTGGACTGCTAAAACACTGTTCTTCTTAAAATGGGAGCCTTTTCGCACATGCGCATTACGGCTTTAGTCGATAGCCATGC